AGCCCCCCCGCCGGCCAGCCCCCAGCCACAGCACATGGGGCAGCTGCCAGCTATGCAGCCCCTCTCGCTGGGTGGTGTGCCCCTCAGAATTGGCATGCGTGCCACTTACGGCATGCGTGCTATACATTGCTGACCCCTGGTCTACAGCTATGATCATGGGCTTTCTTCTGAGAGTAAAATCATGAGTGAATTTCTGTTGTTAAACTGTCCTGGAGAACATTATCACAAGTGAGCTAGGCTGGCCCCACATTGTCCAGGAGTTTCTAGGATCTCATCTACTCAGGCAAAGCATGTTCTTTTGAAGTTCTTACAGTAAAGTTGTAATATTAGGCCTAACACGTCAGACTGAAATCCAGTTGGTGGGCATTGCCAGCTCACAAAAGACTGCACATGGGCTTTGGATTGTTCTCTCGTCCAGACGTGCTTTCTTAACTCTACACCCATAAGAAAAACTCCCTCTTGGGAACGAAATCGTATATCTTCTTTTATTCTCCTCCTGGCTGCAATCAGATGAGCAAGGTAGTGTGGGGTTGGGTTTTTTTTATAAGTTGCAGTCCTGCATATCTCATGAAAGCTAGTTGTGCTAAGAGCTAACACAGCCGTTATTCCCCAGATAGGCCTGACTACAAGAAATTGTCATCTTCCATCCCTTTTGGCTTACACATAAAACATATTAATAACCAAACAACAATGAGCAGGATATTCTGTATGAAAACTAAAAAAAATTGAATGCAGTACTTAATTCAATCACTGTGTAGCTTTGTTGGTCTAGATAGAACACCATCAGAAATTAAAAGAAACTACCAAGACTTCAGTTATTAGATGGCCAAATTGTTTTTAGTAGCTTTCCAAGGTTGAAAAAAATCTTTCTCCTCAGTTTTTCATGCAGAGCCATGGAAGCCTCCTGCCCTGAAGGACCACATGAAACATATAAAGAGTTGTAGGACGGCCACCTAGTAAGGATGTTAAATTTAGATTACTGTAAAAATCTTGAGTATAATGCACACTTTTTCCCCTGTTATTTTAGGGTCAAAGCCAGGGTGCGCATTATACATAAGAGCTATTTTTTCAAAGTTTTAAACTCCTCCTTCCCTCCATACAGAAAACTTTCCTGCTGGAGCGTGGTGCGGGGCCGCTGCAGCATGGCGCGGGGCTCCTGGACAAGCCCAGGAGCCAGCTGCGCTGCCAGGCTGCAGTGCCCTGGCTCACTGCCTGCCCAGTGCTCCTTCAGGCTGTGCCCGGGGGCCTTCTGTGGGAGGCGCAAGCTCAGCTGGGCAGGGGGACCCCGTAGCAGGCGTGAGCTCAGCACGCGAGAGCTCAGCTGGGCAGGGGACCCCGCAGCAGGCACGAACCCCTTCCTTCCTATATATACCGTAAAATTGCGAGTATAATGGGGATGTGCATTATACATAAGAGTTTAGTTTATTCAAGAATTCTGATGTTTAAAAGGCAGGTGCGCATTATACATAGGTGTGCGTTATACTTGAGATTTTACGGTAATCAAGTAATTGAATAGTCGATGCAGTTTGCATCGACTATTTAATTAGTTGAAATGGGCACCTCTGCCTTTGAAATGTAGCAAGAGTCCTTCCAGCTCTTGCTACATTTCAAGGCGGAAGCGCCACAGGAAGCACGGGGCCAGCGGGGGACTGCTTGAGTCCCCCGCTCGCCTTGTGCTCCCGCTGCGCTTCTGCTTTTGCAATGTAGCAAGAGCCCCTGCTACATTTCAAAGGCAGAAGCACTGCTATTTTCCCCCCTGCAACCCTCATGGAGATGGTGCTGCTCCTGCTCCTCCTTCTCCTTGCTGCCTCTCTCTGATAGAGGCAACAGGGAAGGGAGAAAGCGACTAGTTGAATCACTAGTCGACTGTTCAATAAGCATTTGCTTATCGGATAGTCGACTATTCGCTTACATCCCTACCACCTAATCATGAAAACATGTTTCCATGCCTTGCTAAATATTACATATTAAACATGTATGCTTCCACCTCCTTGCTGTGGAGGAGAGCTCAGCCTACTATGCTCACCCAGTAACTGGTATATAGTTAGATGCAGCTTTTAATCTTCTAATTCATCCATTGATTCCCTCCCTGGTGAGACATTTGCTATTGGACATGCCAGCATAATGGAACTGGAGACTTTCCCTGCAAAGAATAACAGAATTTCTTAACTTGAAGAAAGGACATTTTCAGACTAGTGGTAAATTCTGCAAGTCAAACCCACCTCGCACATAGACTAAACTTTAAAGGAAAAACTAAACTTAAAGGAATAGACTAAACTTCCTCTATGAGGAAGTTTTTTGGAAGTATCCTGAACTGGCTGAGGTTTCGTAGGTTGTGGCTGTTTCTACTCTGACTTGATTGATAGGTCAGGTTCTGTCTTCATGGACCTCGAAGCAAGGTTAAGACCCATTGTAACAGATCTAGCTAGATGAGAAAGTTGGGAAACTTATGTATTTTACCCAACTGCTAATCTGAAGTCAGCTGTTTTGAACTCTTGGAGCTAAGCTACTTTGTGTTCCCAATGCCCACAGTGACTGCAGTCTCCTGGGGGATTGACTGATGAAACTAGAAGCAAATATGCTGCAGAATGGGACTCCCCTGGTGTTTCCAAAATAAACCCAACTGATAGCATGGAGATAAAAATATGAAAATTTTTGCTCCCATAATGCACACTTATTTTTGGGGCCACCAGAGTGGTTGCTGTATTAGCCGAACCCATAAGAACGCTGAATCCTAACACTTAGCTTGTTAGATCTTCTTTGAAGCCTGTGATTGAGCAGCCTTGACCAGGGTGATATCCACAGAACTGGAGTGTTCCACTTTCATCTAATCTCATAGCCTTTAATCCTTACAATGCCTCTGTGATCTAGGGAAGTATTGTCTCTAAGGTTGGGGAAAGTGATGCAAGTTGCAGCCATCCCTCAACCGTTGAGTCTGTGGCAGGGCTGGGAAGAGAATCCGGGTTCTAACGCTCATTCCTCCACTTTGCCCTCTTTTCCTTTCTTTGTCTCAAACTAACTTAGTGTAAGTATAACCCAAAGGGATAGTTGCTGATATCCATTCTCCAAGGCAGTTTCTGAATGCACAGCAAGGTACCTATAGGCAAGGCAGGAGCAGATGCAGAGATTGTTACAGTTACATGTTTAAAATGTGAATACCTATGGGTATGTTGAGTTGAATGGATGACTATTCAGTTTAGATAATTGCACAGCTATAATCTGCCTAGACAATTATCCAGCTATATATATCTGCATATAGTTTTAGATGTGTCATCTAGATAGGTGGGGGGTAATGTGGTCTAGTGCACTAAGCATTAGAAGAGGAGCCATTCCTGCATTCCGTTCTCTGCTCTGCGTCTGACTCGCTGTAATGGTTTGTTCTTGTTGTCGTTGTCGTCATTCATCCCATTGTACTATCTGCTATGCAGGTACATGATGATAAACAATAATCTCTGCTCCCAAACATTTCACATCCTAAAGAGAAGGCGCAGCAGATGGTGGGGGGAGAGAAGCTCTCACAGGTGGGATGGAAGAGACGGGATAATAAATAGATAATAGGGTGAGCAAATTCTTAGCCATCCCAGCAATTCACTTGCCTACCCATTATCTGGTTGCATTTTATTGTGCCCTTTTCCTTTACGATCCCATTGTCTTCTGGGCGTCAGTCCCCGAGTATAAGACTCCTAGAACTCCCTAAGGACAGCTGTAGCGGGGGGAAGCAGGAGCCAGGGTCGCTACTGACTGTTGTGTGCCACTTCCTCGCAGGGGAGATACCATAATCGTGAAGGTGGTTTTTCCAGGGTGAGACTCTTCCATTGCACTGCAGGTGTGCTGACCCCTGTGATTTCCCCAAATGTGGGAAACTCGACTGCATAATTTGTGGTAGTGGGGGACTGTGTTTATGCTTTCCCTCGGGGAGGGGGGTGGGACAAACAAACAAACTGCAGCCTTTGGAGCCTTCCAGTCAGTTGCCAGAAGAACTGCCCATAGTTGCATCACTGTCAGTTGCTGCTCTGTCTCTTCTGCATCACTTTGAAGATGTTGTGTCCACCAAAGCCAATATTGGAACTGAGGCACTTTTGCCCTGTCACCTGGCTCTGGGCTTTGGTGCCTGTCTCTTGTGCTTTGCCACCAGTGATTTTGATGCTTTTGAGACTACGTCTGTCCCAGAATTTGAATGCTATAGCTGTGTCCACGCATGTTGTTGCTTGCTTTGGTGTGTCGGAAAAAAGAGAGCAGCAATGCATCTAGTGTCTGCCTTCGCTCCAAGCCTTGGAGCCTGCCTTGTTCTCTAGGTGTGTCTGTGCTTTTCTTTCTTTCATGTTCCCTGTCAGCATCAGCACCTGCAGAGGCACAGAGTTCTCCTGGTACTCCAGGCCATGTCAGTGCAGCAGGAACCTGTCTTGATATTTTAGTGGGGCCCCTCAGCATATCGGAACACCTCTCCATCTGCAGCGGATATTGGAAAGGGGCCACCATAGCTGAAGGTGCCTGTTCTCACGTTGTCAGCTTCCCCAGGCAGTATTTCAGGCAGAAGTGATCATTGGAGGGCATGGGGAGGGTTAAGTGCTCCCCCACCCGATTGGCCTACTGGGTGCAGGGAGGGAAACGGGCTCTTTCCTTCTCTCCCTGCTGGCTGGGTGGGGAGCAGGATGGAGTCACTTCTGCCTGACAGCCTGGCTGGGAAGCAGTGCTGGTTCTAAGCTGGAAGTGGTGAGGGGATGATGCAGGGAATCCATCTCTCTTCCTGCCCTCCCTCCCTTTGGGGTTTTCAGGTACATGTCAGACTCTTGGGCATAAGCGGCTGTCTGGCTCCCAGACAACTTCCAGGGAGAGTAGAGAAACATACAAGGGGACGTGCAAGGAGAGAGGAGCCCTCTGCAGGCACTGGGCTGGGTGCAGGGTGGGAGTGGTCATTGGACAGAAGAGGTATGTGGGGCAGTCACATGTCACCCTCTTTAGCTTGTGTCATCCCCCCACCCCACGGGGAGGCACCACTTAACTCTGCAGTTAAAATGTACAGTGGCAGGGCTGAGTCAGTCAGGGGTGTGGCAACACCCCAGCACCTAGCAACATAGCTGTGCCTGCAAACCTGATGAGACGCAGCTATGCTTGTTTTGGCACAGCTAACATCGGTTGGGGAAGGGGTGTCCTGACAGTGGCAGAAAACCTCCTTTTGTTGGCATACACTGCATCTACTCGGGCTGTAGACCCAGCAATGCTGGTAGAGGCTCCGCAGTGTGCATATAGCTTTGGTGAGAGCCCTTTCTCCTGCTCCATTGTGTAACCTGTGTTCACCAGAAATATGAGCTTAGCCTTGCTCTCTGAAATGAACCTTCCCTTTCCAGCAGAGCTGTGTTTGGACTGCTGTCACTAGGGCTATCGGTTACTATGAAATATGTATAAACGTATTTAGGCAAGAGAGCCAAGTGCCTGCCTAGCAGCACTTAGTCTAAGCAGATAATGAACAGACAGCCCTGAAGTGGATGATCCAGGTTGGGTTGGTGCAGAGAGGAGCCCATGCTGTTTGGTTTAAGAATGGAAGTCTGCCCACAAACTGCTGCAGGGCATGGTGTGGGAAAGATGGTGTTCTGCGTGGGGTGGTGATGGAATATAGACCCTGTCATCTGCATGCTGCTGGTGAAATCTGAACAGGTTTGTAGTAACCAAAAGTGGTTACCCTCTAAAAGTTCTCTGCCCTGTTGTGGAGAAATAACTGGGCCTTCGCTCTATTCCCAGTGGACTGTACCACGAGAGTTACCTACCTTACTCCTGATTTTCTAACATGCACCTTCTCCTGTGGTGCCCCTCACACCTGGGAACCCTTCTTAAACATTTGCAAAACTACTGCATTCTCCTCCTTCAGAACCCTCCACATAGCTCTCCTTTGCTCTGATGCCTATAGAAAACTGACAGTCGGTGGTTGCTGGTACGCTTAGACCAGAGCTTGTCACGGTGGTCACTGCTGTCATTGTTTCCTTATACTTCTCCTATCTATTTCTCTTATTAGATTTTGATGGTAAGCTGTTTGGGGTTCTGGCTTCTCTCTTTTTGTTCTGTTTATACAGCACCTAGTGCACTCAGGTCCTGTTCTAGGACTAGGGGTTCTAGTAGGGATGTAAGTGACTAGTCGAGTAATTGACTACCTGATACTTCTCCCCCACTAGGGGGAGCGGGAGCCAGCTTAAAAGTTGGTTTCCCCCCAACACCATCTCCGGGGGGAGGGGCGGGAAGGGTTAGGGTGTGAGGCAGAGGCTTAGTGACGGCCTGGTGGCAAGCCAGGATGTCTGAGTCCCAGCTTGCACCCAGTCTCCCGCGTGTCTCTGCTTTTTAAATGTAGTAAGAGCTGGGTGGCTCTTATTACATTTAAAAGGCAGAGCTGCAGCAGGGTTAGCTCCCAGCCTCAGGAGCTAACCCTGCTGAGGCTCTGCAGTTTCCCCCCTAACTAATGGAGTAGTTGATTAGCTAATTAAATGCAAATTAACATCCTTAGTTTCTAGGTTTTATGGTAATACAAATATTTGCAGTCTCTGCAAAGGCCAAAGAGGGAATGGGTCTGGAGCTTGGACTTGCCTAACTCCTAGAGGGGACAGTTCAGGTCAGCTAAGAGCTGTGTGGGTAGGCCAGGTTGGGGGATTTTGTATTGCAGCACTGGCTTTCTGAACAAGACTGAAATCTAACACCAGTCCCATCTGATGACCTTGTCAGAACACATGACAGGGTCTTCAGTGTAAAATCTTTAAAGATACGAAGAAAATCAGCGAAACACTCACATGTGCTTGGTATGATCGAAGTTGTGAATTAGCAACTGTAGAGCAATGGAGAGACCGAAGGGACCTAACCCATGGACAGCTTCCAGCAAAATTTTGTATTCCTGCCTACAACTAACAATGAGCTTACATAACCCCGAGGAAGAGAGAGACAGGTCATCTAATTACTATGTGCTGTTAGAGACCACAATGAAAGCTTTCAGTATGTGGCTAGAGGGCATAGGATTCATGGTGCTGCACCTAACTCTTTCATATTCATGACCTACCAATGGGATTGGGAAGAAACTTGAGACACTGATGTATATTTTGATGTGGGGCAAATTAGTGGAAAGGTAAAGAGGATTGCATGGTGTGTGGGGGGGGGGGGGGAGTCTCTTTGTTACCTTGGTTACAGTCCTACTGTGGCTGTGTCATCACTTTTGGCAAACCTGTGTGTACAGAACTGTAGAGTTGTTTCTTCCATGCCATTCCCCTGATCCTGTAAAATCTCCCCTTGGTCCATCAAGGGACCATCTACTCTTTCCACTTAATATCTGCAACCATTGACCATAAAACAAAGGATCCAAACTTCAGGGTGCTAAAATGTTCAATAACGTTTTGGGAGATTGTTAATGTTTCACTTATATTTGTCCTCCCTTTTTAGGGTGAGGTTTTTTTCTTCCCTACCCCCAACAGAAAATCAAATCAGGCTGGTCTTGCTATAAGGTAGAAAACAACACTGTTCTCTACACTTTGGTGTAGGAAAAGTAACAAGGGTGCAGATTCTGCAAGGTATTTTGGGATGTCTAACTCACACTGAAATCAATGAGATTTAGGCACCTGAGGATTTGGATATATCTCCAGCGAAGAAGCAAGATGAAGCTAAACTCCAAAAGCTATAATTAGATGGCACCGTTCCAAAAGCACAAGCCCTTATGAGTCCCGTCCAAGCCACCTCTCTGAACTCCAGAAGGCTGTAATACTCAGGTTGTGACAGTGGTGAAGTCTTAAGGGTTTAATCACAGCTTTTTAATGCCCGTCCGGTAACGTGCAGCATGCAAGCATATGGAATGCTATGAAATCTTTAGACAGTGTTACAAATTCATCTCTCCCCTGCCACTGGCAAAAAGTCAGGTCACAGAAAGATGGGAGTGGTATTGGAGGACAGCCTGGGATCTTAGGAATTACCTCTGTTTTAACTTGCTCTGAATGTCCTGTAAGAGGGGGGTGCACTCTTAAACACCTGGAAAAGCAACACCTTTCCTTTCCTCGGCAGTGTTCCTGTGTGAAGTCACACTGGGTAATGCAAACATGGACACCTAACTTCTGTGCCTGTTTCTCTTGAGCCAGATCAGACCATCTGTATTTGCTGTACTATAATATGTCCTCTAGCTCTACCATAGCCTGTGTACTAGGAGGGCCCTTCTACCCAGAGGTAATGGGATCACTACGAGAAGAAAGCCTTCAGTCTACTCTTGGGACCTATGATGAATCAGTGGCAAAAAGCTACTGTACTCTTATCGGAAGATCGCTGTAGCTGGAGATGAATAGTACTTGCTTGCGTTATTTGGAGCCTCTTGTTGCTGCATTTTATGTTCAACTAGGGATGTGACGGGTTAACTGGCGAACCTATTAAATGGGATTTTACATCTCCAGTTTCAGTGTTTTACTACCTGTGGGTGGGTAATCTACAGCAGTGAGGACTTTGTGGAATTTATTGGTGGGGAGAAGCAGAGAAACCTGCTGAGCTGAATCAGCCCAGAGGTCACCTGTCTACGAAACAAATTGCTCAGTTAGGTGGAGGCCCTCAGCTGAAATTGCAGGTCTCTCTCAGGCGGACCACAGTCTGCGACTCTGAGGCTGAGGGGTTGCTAATGGTGGTTGGTTGTGAAATTGGCTGCGTTTCACACTGCTCTCTGGGGAGGGGTTCCCTGCGCCATGGTCTGACGAAAGGGGTAAACTGTGAGGTGGCAAAATTTGCAGATGATACTAAACTGCTCAGGATAGTGTAGACCAAAGCGGACTGTGAAAGAGCTTCAAAAGGATCTCACAAAACTAAGTGACTAGGCAATAAAATGGCAGATGAAATTCAATGTTGATAAATGCAAAGTAAGGCATGTTGGAAAATATAACCCTAACTATTTGTGTAAAATGATGGGGAGAAG